GAATCAGACAACATGTAAAAAACGATACACTAGTTATAGGGCTCTTCTCTTATTCTCACTGGTATCAGCATTTGCACTCTCTCTCCTGCACCTACTCACATTGCAAAGACATCAAGACCCGACTTTTTTATACCGCCACAAATAAACAGAACGTGGTAAAAAAACGGCATAAAAAACCTAAGGGTAAATGCGGTACATCCGGCGAAACAAACTACATATGAGTGTGTGTGTGTGTGTGTGTGTGTGTGTGTGTGTGTGTGTGTGTGTGTGTGTGAGGGGGGAGGGGGTGGGAGGGGATCGGCTCAACCCGTACGCACGCAAATGTGTCTCATGCACACATTGCGCATTCACACACACATACACACATGACACGCACGCGCTCTTAGGTTGGTGGGCATGTGCTTCGCCGCATGAAGGAGGTGGCTGAGCAGCACCTTGGCCACCCTGTGGAAGAAGCAGTCATCACTGTTCCCGCCTACTTTAACGACAACCAGCGCCAGGCCACCAAGAATGCAGGCCAGCTCGCAGGTGTGTGGCTGTGGTTGTGTGTGTGAGAGAGAGGGAGTGTTCGTCTGTGTGTGTGTGTGTGTGTGTGTGTGTGTGTGTGTGTGTGTGTGTGTGTGTGTGTGTGTGTGTGTGTGTGTGTGTGTGTGTGTGTGGGGCTGTCTGTGTGTGTGTGTGTGAGAGAGAGAGAGAGAGAGAGGGAGTGTTCGTCTGTGTCTGTGTCTGTGTGTGTCTGTGTCTGCGTGTGTCTGTGTCTGTGTGTCTGTGTGTGTGTGTCTGTGTGTGTGGGGCTGTCTCTCTCTCTGTGTGTGTGTGTGTACGCACACGCCTTGTGTATGTGTGTGTGTGTGTGTACGCCTTGTGTGTGTGCATGCGGAAACATGTCTTGAAGCTGATGCACACAAGTCTTGACTGCGTACTGCAGGCCTGAAAGTGCTGCGCTGTGTGAACGAGCCAACGGCAGCCGCGCTTGCGTATGGCATCTCGTAAGTGGCAGCCACGTGTGTGTGTGTGTGTGTGTACATGTGTGTCTGTGTGTGTGTGTGTGTGTCTGTGCGTGTCTGTGTGTGCGTGTGTTCTGGTGCTCATGCATGGTCTCCACTCCCACATGTTGCAGCGCTGTCAGCAATGGAGGCGCGACGAAGAAGATTGCCGTGTACGATCTTGGTGAGGTTACTGTTGCTGTTGCTGCTGTTGTGGTGTGACAGTGTGTGGGCAGGTGGCACATGCGAGGCTGTGGCGTGTGTTTGCCAATGCACATGCACACACACTATCACACATGCTCATGCACGCACACATGCACTCCTGCACGTACACGCACGCACACGCACGCACGCACTCGCCCTGTTCATCGTGCCACGCATCAGGTGGTGGCACGTTTGACATCAGCATTCTGTCCATGGATGCGTTTGGGGTGTTTGAGGTCCTTTCCACCAACGGCGACACGTTTTTGGGCGGCGAGGACGCAGACGCAGCCATTGCGCAACACCTGAATGAAACATTTTGCAGCACGCATGGCCTGGCGCCGCAGGACCTGGACGCCACCGCAACTCAACGCCTCAAGGACGCGGCAGAGACGGCGAAGATGCAACTCGATCAGGTGGGGTCGCACGCGCTGCTGCTGCTGCTGCTGTTTAAGTTGTTGTTGTTGCGTGTAGTTATTGTTGCTGTTGTTGTTGTTGTTGTTGTTGTTGTTGTTGTTGTTGTTGTTGTTGTTGTTGTTGTTGTTGTTGTTGTTGTTGTTGTTCCTGTTGCCCTGCTGCTGACACGCATGTACAATTGTGTGTGTGTGTGTGTGTCGTGTTTCCGCTTGAAGGCGAGCGAGGCGTCGGTGGTGCTGCCGCTGCTGTTCAACCGAAAGAGTCTGGAGACCACGCTGACACGTGCGCAGGTGGACACGCTCGT